GCCCGCACAAATCATTTTAGTATACTTTTAGATGCTAAAACCAGTTACAATGTCGTCATTGCGCATAGAGGGTATTCGAGATTTCACACGTGAATAGTCGGGTCTATGTTCTAAGCATTTGCGAACAACAATGTGCGAGTGTACGACTCATAGGGATTTCCCAACAGATGGAAATCGTGTGAAATTGGTGATTTTATGGTCAAATATTAGATAAAATTAATATAAATAAAATACGTATACGCAATTAGCACGAGAGTGGCGGGGAAGTCCAACGGGGAAAGATCCAATGCCAGCCTTTCAAAATCTCAGCTGTTTGCGCTTATAACTGCTGCCATCAACAAGCTGTATAATAAATGCACTTAATTTAAATGTTTATTCAAACAGCTTAAATCTCAAATGTAATCAAAGCTTCGGCTAATTTCTCTGCTTTCAAATTTGTCGCAAGTCTGTTTTTGTTTATTTATGCAAACTGGCGCCCAAACAAATATTCACATTTTGGGGCTTCGCATAAGTGTCTCATACAACCAACCGGTTTACCAATCATTTTTTCTTTCTCTCTTCCCCTTTTTTTCATCATTTATTTTGCCAAATTAATTTTGCTTTTTTCTTTTTTGTGTAATGTTTATTAATTTTATATAAGCGTGCGGCATTCTTTTTTGTACGTTTTCATGTTGTTGAGTTATTAGTTCCAAACATGATTTATTATTATTATTATTATCAGATAATAAAAAAACTACGCCGCTAAAAAAAATATGTTTAACATTTTTTTACGTACAATTTAACAAATTGCTTGCTTAAAATACAATTTTTTTTTAATTTAATTAACTTATAAGTTTGGTTGGGAGTGTATATATGTGTGTTCCTTAATGGCACTAATAGACATTAAGATTTGTATTTTCTAAAATCGTGGCAATTCGTTGTTGTTGTTTTGTATTTTTAATTTCTGCTCGTTTCGTGTGTCGGCTAAAAAAAATTGTTGACACGCTTTCATCTCCAGCTCTTAGTTCGGAATTCGACTTATAGCCCATAAACACACGTTCGTACACGGCTAAAATGTCGCAGTTAGAATCAGATATAATTAAACAATATATAAATCAATAGGAAATGCGTAAATAAACAACATTTTATTGTATGATATGAGCTATATATATTGCTAATATGTGATTATTATTCATGACACTCAATTCATACAAAATAAAAGAAAAATCTGGTACAAAATTTAAAATTGTAAAATTGTTTTTACGTCAAGAACTGTTAAATACTATAACAGCGAGCTGAGTGTTTGATTTGAAGTTATATTATCAAAGTAAAATATTCAATAACATTTGAAATTTAAGACTTATTCTTAAAGATATTTAATTTACAATTTTGGTTTAGAAGACGTCAGTCGATTGGTATAAATTCCAAGCCTTGTAAAATAAATCGCAGCCGGCATGTTTAAAACGTACCCGAACTTGGGCCTGTGCAAATCGGATGTTTGAATGTACATGACCAGACCCTCATTTAAGAAACCCTCATTGAAACTTATATTTCATATATCAAGTTTCATGTATGTTTCATATTACAAATAAATGGAAAATTAAATTTAAAGCGTGGTCAGAGTTAATATACAGTTTATATATGCAGTCATAATGAACTCCATTTAATTGAAAATATTTGCTTATTAAATGCAATCAAATTCAAATAATTTATAGTAGTAATTTATTCGCATTACCCGTCAAGGCAACCGCGGCACTGCGATACTATAAAATGCTTTCATATACCCAAATTTTCTACTGGCTAACGTCATGTTAATTATTTATACTATACAACAGGGGCCAAAAATCTATGCATTGCCATGGCAAAAATATGAGTTTGATTTGGGCCAAAAGGCAATACATTTTTGCATTTGTCCGTTTATTGTTATTGGCGATTTGCGAGTCTCCCCGGCTACCAAATTGAATTACCCGCCTATTTGGCAGCGGCGCAAACTTTTCAATTATGCGGCGGTCGGTTAATAACCAAAGCGACATCAAGCGACAAACGCGTTATGCAATACAATTTAAATTATTTAATTTTAATGAAAATTCCCATGAATGTATTGCATTCGGGTCTGCTTTTAGGCGTCGTCAGACTTTACTGATTTCGTTCAGCTTCAATTTCGCATTTGCTAAAAAAAAAAAAAACAACATAATTCTTTTAAATTCTACATTATATTATTTACTCAAATAAGTGGAAAGAAAGACCTCACATGTATACCTTGTAATACCCCAATTTTCTTTTTGTATAGGTGCAAAATAGTAGGCTTCTTTTAATTAACATTCATGTTTAATATTAGTTTTTATTTTAGCGAGAACACTTGAAAATATTGCATTCAATAAGTAAGGAAATATTTACTTCCTTCATATTTTTAAAACATTTTTAGCTATTATTACTGCACACGGTTTTTATAAAAATGATAGATATACCATAGCTTATTCCATACATATATACATAAAAAACATGTTGCATACTTTTTATCACTGGTGAGAAATATTATTATTTTTAAGTAAAATTATAATACTTTACGTGTGCTCTAAAAAGACTTCTATATAAACGGTTATGAATTTTATCTGTTGATCTTTAATAATTATCTCTCTGCAATTTCTATTCCCAATCTGGAAACCAATCTTGGATTGCTATCGTAATCTAATACATAAACATGCATCGCAGTTGCTTGTAAAAAAAGAAAATAGTTAAAATACATAAAAATGTTGCAATTCTTTGGGCAGGAAACTATCGGTAAAGTTTAAGTTGTTAAAACTTGTGGTGGTATATAAAAAAGTTAAAGAAAAAATGTTTCGCATATGCATTTACATTTATTTTATTGGCTAACATAAATTGCGGCAAACAAAGGAACGCAATATTGTCAGTTCGACAACGATGCAAAGTCCAACGGTGGCAACAGCAATTGCTGCCATCATACAAATGGCAACAGCAACAGCAACATGCAACACAAAGCGTCAGAGACAGCAGCAGTCAACAGTGTGGCAAACCGCCAGAAACAGCAACAGGAACAGGAAGAGCAGCCGTTGTTGGCCTATCCCAGGGTAAGCTCATGGCCTCCTGGCGAATCGCCCCCCTCCTGCTCAGCTCCCCTGCGCGTACACTTCCTCTTTATGCTGTAAAGTGCACCACAGGGGTTCATTGTCCTTGTGCAAATTGGTCTGAGTTTATTGCCAATGGCTGTTTGCAGCAGACGTTGTCCGACCCAACAGCTGCTCCAAGCAATCCCTCTCACTCTTGCATCCCTGCTCAATGGGATGCGCTCCTGTCTCGGCTGGCGGGCAGTTGCAGCCGCCGTTTGGCTGTGGCAATAAAACTGCACTTTGAGGCTGCACAAAGTTTGCTTAAGATTTCAATTTGTTGCTAGAAGCTGCCGCCGTATTGTGTGCAACAATTTGCAATAGTAAAATTGCCCCCAACGTAGCAACTTTGGCTCCTAATGATAAATGTTTGCTAAATGCCACAGACGGCAATTGAGTCGTGGTTTGCGTGCAGCGCCATTTCAAGGATTTATATGACCAAACTATGTTATCAATGTCTTCAGTTCCTTAAACTACGCGCTCGCAACTCTCTATTATAGGCCCATTTATTAGAGCTAAAGTTTTCCAGCTGCAATTACCAACTTAAGGTATGCACTAGAAAAAATTGTAGAGAAAGTGGCAAAAGAATCGATAGCATACGCAACAGTTGGCACCAGAATATCTTTAGATAAGTTAATATTACCAGAATGTCATTAGATAAGCAAATTCTATCGATAGGCGTCCTTGGCATTTAAAATTCTTGATGTTATCAAAAGTTTTTCCATCTAAGTTGATGGACGTTTATTAACTGGGAACTAGATCGAATATAGTAATTTTTGTTACTGTTATTGTAATTATTATTTATATTATGATCTTTATAGGTAAAGGAAATATTCAAAGCTCCCTTTAGACTAAATAAATCTTAAATTGAGAACACAGTTAGATCCCCAGAAAACCCATGCTATCCTAAAGCTTACAAAACAGTTTTAGTTGTCATCTTAAATCAAGCTAGGACAACGTTTAAAAACAATGGCAGAATATATTTTTCACCTTTCGAAAAATTGATAAAAATTAAGCTGTATAAGTATTTTTTAGTGTACGAATATGTCTGCATCCAGACACTAACATATGCAAAGCCTTCTGCTTAAGTATTCGGTTTTCCTCAAGGACAACACGTGACTTTCCAACTGTAATGAAAACTTTTCACTTCGAGCAAAGTTATGAAATATTAGCGCCAAAATGCGTTTGAGCATACGGATAAGTTCTGCTTACTGCCACCTGGCACAAGTTTACGACAAGTTGCCTAATGAAATTAAAGAGCAAGTGTGCTCCGACAAACTATACGATATGCTATCATGAAACTGTGAAGCACTCTGCCTAGCAAGCTTTTACCAAATTGCATAAAGCCGGTTTAACTGGCTTAACTGCTAGCCCCGCCCTCCCTCTACAAGCCAATTAATTTTTGTTTAGATAAGCAGCAATAGAATGTTCTAGATCTAAGTACTAGACTTTGAGATACTCAGTAAAAAATATGTTTAGTTTTTTATTGATTAGTCATGGATTGTAGGATGTTACTAATATTTTACAGCATGCTAACACGATCTGATTTATTTTATTCATTGTTAAAGTATTGGCACATAAAATATTTGAGCCCAAGCGAATCAGGGTTAAGCATAGAACAATTTTTAATACTTTAGCTAAAGTTTGACTACGCGATTTTATGAAATCAAACTCCCAATTAAAGTTGTCTTTATATCTATACAACCGGGAATAACTTCTGTTCCACACAATTACACATATTTATTATACCATATCCATTTTTATGAATATATGCGGGATTTAATTACCCTTCTTATGACCTTGGCCATCTAATAGACTCAACCTAACTAATTGTGTGGCCTATAGAAATTGCGCATCCAAATCATACAACGGTTATAAAAACTTAGTTTTATTAGAAAAATTTATTTGAGGCGTCTTATTGACTTTGAAATACTCTTTCGTTTTGTAGTTGGGGCAAAGTGAGAAGCTAAGATTATTAAACTAACGGCCATAGCTGCCTGCTGAAGCTGAGGCTGACGCTGATGCTGAGGAACTGGCGCCACCTTTGCCGCCACCACCGTAGCCGCCACCACCGTAGCCACCACCACCATGGCCGCCACCGCCATGACCACCTCCTCCAAAGCCGCCGCCGCCGCCATGTTTGCCACCACCACCGTAGCCGCCTCCTCCGTGTTTGCCGCCTCCAATACCGAGACCGAGGCCGCCGCCCAAGAATGGTCCACCAGCGCCTGCACCTGCACTGGAACCAGCTGAGGCGCCTGCACTGCCACCTCCGATACCACCAAAGCCAGGCCCGCCACCAAATCCGGGTCCACCGCCGCCATGGCCACCGCCAGCTGATCCTCCACCGAAGCCGCCGCCTCCATGACCACCGCCTAGTGATCCTCCACCGAAGCCGCCGCCTCCATGACCACCGCCTGCTGATCCTCCACCAAAACCGCCGCCTCCATGGCCACCGCCAAGAGATCCTCCACCGAAGCCGCCGCCGCCATGACTACCACCTGCAGATCCACCGGCAAAGCCACCACCACCTGCTGATCCTCCACCGAAGCCGCCACCGCCTTGACCGCCGCCTCCATGACCACCGCCAAGAGATCCTCCACCAAAGCCGCCGCCTCCATGGCCACCACCTGCGGATCCACCGGCGAAACCACCACCGCCTGATGATCCTCCACCGAAGCCGCCGCCGCCATGACCACCTCCTGCAGATCCACCGGCGAAACCACCACCGCCTGATGATCCTCCACCGAAGCCGCCGCCACCATGAGCACCACCTGCGGATCCGCCACCGAAGCCGCCTCCACCATGACCTCCTCCCAATCCACCTCCGCCGCCATATCCAGGACCTCCGCCGCCGATACCGCCGCCGCCTGCACTTGAACCAGCTGAGGACGATGCTCCACCACCAGAACTACCGCCACTAAAGAGGCCGCCATGTCCACCTCCTAATCCCAGTCCAAGGCCTCCACCGCCACCACCGTGCTTTCCACCGCCCAGACCCAGGCCTCCGCCTAGACCTAGTCCAAGTCCGCCACCGAGGCCTAAGCCTCCGCCGCCGCCGCCTCCAAATTTACCGCCTCCATCAGCGCTGGAAGTCGCCGACGCAGATGCCGACGCTGAGGAAGCGGCACCACCATCACCGCCTCCATATCCTGCGGAAGCCAACGCAACGCAAATACTTAGCACAATAAACAGTCTCATCGGAACTTTTGATTGCCGCCAACTGACTTCGGCTCCTAGAGAACGCTCAGCTTTTATAAGATGCCGAGGCATTGCGAAAAAATAATTTACAACAAATGCAAAAAACCCAAAACTAAAAAACAAAATCAAACAAAACAAACACAAAAAAAAATATAAAATAAAATAAAATACAATCAAAACAAACTGGGAACCGGGCTGAGTTTAACAAGCAAATACAAAACTCTAGTCACGTTCTGAAAACCGGGATCGATGCCGGGTCAGACGGAGCAAAACTCTGATAATTAATCCACGGAGAGAGACAAAAACAACGACAACAAAAGATCGGGAGCCATAAACAATAATAAGACATTTATCATCATTTATATATTCGATACTGTCTGCGATTCTCTCGAATTATACTCTAACCAAATGATTAGAACACAAATAATCGATCTATCTAAACCCAAAAAAGGTTTTGATTAAGTTAAACACAAATATCTGTAGTAAGAATAATAGTTAGTAAAAGAGAAAAGTGTAAATGGAATTTAATTGTAAATAGAATTTAATTCCAGGTCAAATGTTAATCAATTTTCAAAAAATTAAAAGCACTTCAAGAAAAGATTGTACGTAGTTTAAAAAGCTAATGAAGACTATATACATATATATATATATATATATATATATATATATATATATATATATATAGCTTTGTGTAATGCCAGAGCTCGTAATCTTCCTAATCTGTGACTATCTAGAAATATATAGGTAGTTCTGAACGCAGCTGAGAAGAAAATATATAAAGTGAATTGGAAATTCCCAAAAATAAAAACGCCATAACTTATGTATTCTATCGAATGTCTGTTACGCTCAGAGCATTCATTATTCGTCCATTATCAGTTTTCTTTTGTTTCTTTTTCTCATAGTATAAATTGTTTATATAAATCAGCGTTTCGACGTCATTAAGATCGGAAATAGCTGTGCTGATTCTTGTCTCGGCTTTGCGAGATTGGAATTTCAATTTAGCAGTACTTGGGGATTATGATAGTAAGTGACCCTTAATACCAGTCTATTAGAAAAGATTAAAAATCGATTAAGATTAATACTGCAGCTAGTAAATAAATAGGTATTTCATTTTCTTCGTGTTACTAAATTGAAATCAAAACTGTTTAATATTCAAATACGATGATATATAATGATTAACATAATACTATAAAATGTGGTTAAAAGCTGTCATATTTAAAAAGAAAAAACACTTAAGTTAATTTAATCTGCACTCTACTGGTTTTATACATTTTATATATTTGGAATTTAAAAAATGAGCTTTTTTCCATTGAGAGTTAAATGCTTGGCATATTTCGTCAGAGTATTTGTTTCTCTTTTTAGTGCTCAAGAAAACTCAGTTTTCACGCCTTGAACACAGCTTTTCACTTATTTGGATGGCCGGGTAAACTGAAATGCAAATGTCAAGAGCTGGTGGCCTGAAAGCATAAGCAGCTCTGGGAAGTCAGTCACAAAACAACAACCACAACAAAAAAAAACAACAGCAGCTAGAACAGCAGCAGCAGCTGTTGAGAAAATGGCATGTGCATAAGAAAATAGAAATTTCCCTCAAGGAAATCTGCTTAGAAATGCATGTACTCGTTGTTGCCGATGCTGCTGGTGCTGCTGCTGTTTGGAAAATCTGCTACAGTTTCTGGGCCACGTCATTGTCAGCCAAAAGAAACAACACTTGACTTCCGTTTCCGGTCGAGCCAGTGCTTGCCACCCGCTGCATATTTAAAACCGTACAGTTTTATGCAAATATCTATTCCATATTTAAAGCTACACAAGAAAAGGCAAATAAATAAATAAATATTATATATTACGAAATGCTATCTGGCCGCATTTTGGCCAATTGCTCGACCTCGTATCCTTAGTCCCTTGGCCTCGCCCTCAAAATCCTTGGCCTGTGGCTGCTTGCCCAGCACTTGCAGCATACGGTTGTAGAGCAGCTTTCGAACATCGACTGCCCAGAGGAAGTCCATGTGATTGAACTCCTTCAGCGGCACCAGATACTTGCCCGTCACATTGCCCAAATCCTCGCACATGGCCTCTACATCGTGCGGATGACACAGCAGATCGTTGGTCGAATAATACACAAATGTCGGCACCGTCACCAGGCTCAGATTGTAACGCGGCGGCACATGCTCCCTGTACAAGACCATATTCTTGTTCGAACTGTAGCTATAGGGTGCGAATCGGCCAGTTTTGATAATTTGTATAAAGTGCTTGACTTGCTTGGCAGCCACGCCTGCGGGATAGTGGCCCAATACAACGGGAAACATTTTCTGAAATTTCACAGATAGTTTAGCAGTTCGTAATTCGGGCTTTAACACGGCTGCTTACCCTGTTGAACTCGTTCCAATTACGTCCCACAATGCCAAAAACAGCTTCAATACAAAGTCGCTCCGTTTCTTCGGTCATGCGACAAAGAAATCGAAATTCACCATTGAACATCTCTGTTATGGAGCTGCCCACCAGACTCTGGAATTAGAAGGCGTTCGTTTCACTTTTAGAAATATTGCAAGTCAGTCTGAGATGTGAATATAGCTTTTCACATCTTTAAAATGTTATTTGTTTTCAGAAACAGAATAGAATATTCGACGTATATATATTTTTTAATAATTTAAAAAATAAAAAAATGGTTGGAATGAAAATCGAATGCAAAACTGTCTCGTATCAAAAACTTAGCATGCACTTCAAAACGATTTCGAAAAAATTAAGAAAGGCGTATATATATATTTGTGCAGTGCCCGTCTTACTGTTCGAGAATCTAGTCAGGAAAATGCTCTTGTAATATTGAAACTTGGACTATATACTCTAGTTTACCCACGTAGAGTGTGGAAAGTGGCTAAATGTTATATCTTCTTCAATTTAGTTTGGCTACATTAATAAACTAAAGGGAAAATACAAAGTTGGCTTTACGTATGTACTTAAAATTGAAACACGAAGCTGCATCAATTTTCTATAAAAAATAAAACAAAAGCCTCCGACTTGAAAGAATGTGTTTTCCAGCAAAAAAACCAAAACTTTAAACAAACTTAAAAAAAACTTCTTGAATATTCATAGACTCACATTGAAATACAAACTCATGGCACGTATGTAGGGATGATCTTCGGTTTCTTTGGCATAAACAGCGGGAGCCATGGCTTGCATGGAGATGATCTTCTCGTTGTACGCCGGCCGCATCGAGCACATCACAAAGAAGGCCGTACAGCCCTGGGAATGGCCGGCATATTGCAGCTTCTTATAGCCGGTAACCTTAAGCACATGATCGATCATCGCTGGCAGATCGTACATGCCAATTTCATGCCAACTGAAGTCCCAGAACTTGGATGCATCCGGATCGAGAGTTGTGTGATTTCTGGAGTAGCGATTGCCACGCGCATTGCCCAGCCAAACGTCATAGTTGTGGTCGGCCAGCAAGTAGGCTACAGAATGGCGAGGGCAGAGACGATGGTAATCACTTGGCTAGGCATTAATCACCCAGACATGAAGCAGACAACACACTCACCCAGACTCACATTGGGGCCCATGACAACGAAGCCCGCCGAGCTATCAACGAGTCCATGCTGGAGCAGAAAGGGCTGGGCGCCCAAATTCCGTATACGATGCATTGTTAGAATGTAGCCATCGTCTGTGGTCACATGATGCACTTCCGCCTGGTAGCCGTACTTGGCAATTAATTTATCCTGTTGATGAAATGTTGAAATTGTTGCAGTTGATGCCAGGGTGTTGACCGGTCGCCCGGATTGAACGGATTGCTCCGGGTCATTAATCTTCGTACCACACTTAGGTTTGAGTCTTGCTTGATGTTTTTGCGCTGCAGCTTCTCCTCGGGCGTCTCATCTTCGATGCTCTCCTCCTCCTCCTCCTCTTCTTCCTCCTCCTCATCCTCCTCGCCACCAATGAGCTGCGCCTGCGTCCTACTGATGAGCAGGCACAAGCCCAATGCGAACAATAAGCGACGTTGCATTGTTATCAAATGAAACCTTTACTTGATTTGATCCCGAAAAGCATAAAGTGAAATTCGGCTTTAATTTTGGATACTTTTGGGTTTGTTTGCCTCTTCACTTGTTGGTCAACTTGAGTGCTGCACGTCGCGGCCTCAACTGAAACTGAAACCGAAAACCCGGCGACGCGTTACGAACTTCCGCGCTTACAAAGAATGCCGAAAACTTTCGATCAGCAACAACAACAACAAGGCCAATGACAATAACAACAACAACAACAACAATCATAATAACAATATGCGTAATGACGTGTTTTTGTTTTTATTTTATGAGGTTTACCTTTTGCGCATAAGCTCCAATTATACCCTGTGGCCAACATATGATCGAAAGGGGTTAAGCCCACTAAAGTGGCTAACTTTGATGTATATATTTCTATTCAAATAAATAGGATTTGCTTAAAGTCGATAGTTGTAAAACAAATTAATAATAATTAGGCCTAAGACCCAAAAAAAAGTGCTCAGTGATTATGTTCGGTTAGATAAATCAACGATTGAATGGGAAAAATATATTTTGGCTGTTTTTTAGCAACTGGTTTGGTTTCGTATTCGGTTCATGGTAAAAATAATCTTATTGGTTTGTCTCAAAACCTGTTTGCAACTTCAATTGTGAGCATATTTGTGTATTTTATATGAATTAAATATATCTCTGGAGACTATCATAAAATTTGTATATATATATATTTTAGGAGCTTGCCAATAAATAGGCATAACATATATTAGAACTTCATGCAACACAGTTATTATATGTATTTAAATAACTTTATGTGATAGTTACTTATATTAATTAATTTAATCAAATAGTAAAAGTATAGTAACTTCTGAGCTGCTGGCATCAATTAGAATATTCTTTTAAGTATATCCAAATATATAAAAGTACAAGAAAACATTTAACTAACACACGCGATTTATATATAAGTACTCATAAATATTTAAAATACACTGAATTTTGTTTACTGAATAGAGAGTATCTACTAGTTGATACTATTCGCTTGATCACTTGAAAATGAAATGTTTTGGGACAGTTAATTAAAGTGAGAGAGACAGCGAGAGAAAGGGAAGCGAAAGACGTATTTGGATGCGTAGGGCGTTGCTATCGATAAAGAACCACACACGAAATTCAACTACAGTAAAGCTTCGATGGGTGTGTATCAATTAAGTCTGTGCCAGCATTTATGTAGGTCGCATTGCACTGATTACCTTTCTTATGTGGTAAGAGCGAGCAATTGTGTCAATTTGCTTAGGCAAGAAAAGTTTTCCATTGTAGATCTACGAAAAAAGAAGAAACGAGTCGAATACCTAATAACCAAAATTGAACAAGTTTAACAAAATATTTTGATAATAACAATAAGTTGAAGAAAATAAGTTAGAGATTGGAAACATAAAAGAAAAAAAACAAAATTGGTAAATAAAGAAATAAATAAACTTAATCAAATATTTTTTGCAGAGCATACAAAATGCCTACTTAAATGATTATTTGGAATTTATTCATTTCCAAATGCTATGACTTAAATGTCAAAAACTGTTTTCGTATAAACAACAATTTTCATGTTACGTTTCAAATTGAAGATGTCTTCTTAAGTTATTTGGTTAAATTTGTTTTATAATAAGCAATGTGAAAGCCTTAACATTTTTAAAGAAAATCAGCTAAGCCCTTTAAGCAAATGGAGTCTGAATATTTTTAAATTGATAATGTTTTTACAAAAAATAATAAAAAGAATGAGTGTGTCGGTCGAGTTATATTGATAGTAGGTATATAATACTTCAAGAAACACATTTTAGAATAATTTCAAACAATATTTAGTACTTATTTATTTTCAATGTACCATAATTATTGGTTTTAATTGAAAATTTAACAAATTAAAATAAAATACTCTAACGTTAAAAGTATTTTTTACAGCTTTAAAAAGCATGCATTGATTTTCGCCAATTAGTTAGAGTATCCGACTTGTGATTAAGATATATATTTAAATTTTGCCTGTGCGTTTATTTATGCTTTTGGCCAAGTTTCAAGCGAATTGGCTTAATAACCTTTTTGGCTAAGCCGCCGTTGTTGGCGCTGCGGCATCGTCTATTGTGGGTCAAAAACTTAGGCGGTGGCCAGAAACAAAGACAACAACACGGCGGGGGAAAAAAAAACAAACAACATTTTTGTGCGCTTGCCTTTTGAGTGGGCAATCAAAAGAAAGTAAAAGTGTTGGGCCCAGACGGCAATTTGTCACATTTCGTTGTTGTTGCTTTTAGTATTCAGTTTTTTATTTGATTTTTTTTTATGGTTTGGTCAAAGACGAACCGATTACATAATTGCTACTCGGCCATTTGAACATTTGGACATTTGGCCGGTTGCCAAGGCAAATAAAACACATTTCGCTTGGCTCGCGCTTTTAATGAGCCTCAATGGACGCCTTTGATGACAGCTTGGGGAGCCAATTACTTAGCACCACCGAAGCTGACGCCTCATTCGATTATGTACGGCAATTTGCCTTCGAGAAACTTTTCCATTAGCTCGATCAGTTTGTCGTTAACCAGAGTTTTGACCTCGCCGGCCACCAGGAAATCAAAATGATTGAACTTCGCGGATGCAATGCGCCGCACGCTGCGCACCGAGTTCAACATTCTGGCATAGATGCCATGCACGCCCTCGGGCGTGGCAATTGCATCCGTTTCCCCGAAGTACAGTATGATGGGCACACTGATCTGGCTGATATTATAGTTAAGTGCCTCGACACTATGATAGATCTGCATATTCTCAATGGGGCCATAGTCGTACGAAATGAAATCACCCGATTTCCAAATCTGCTGCAAGTGTCGCAGCTCCCGTGCAGAGCCACCCTGCAGCAGATGCTCATAGCTAAAGATATCAAGTAACTGAAAGATATTGTGGATTGTTGAGCAAACAGATTTTTTAAGTTGAGCAATGATTTACCTGTTTATTGCTCAATGCACTGCCCGCTAAGTTTTTGGTATAGTATTCACAGAGCTCCCGCTTTTTAGAACACAATTTACGCAGCTCACCAGGTGGAAATAGTTCAAATTTGTTGGCCTTTTCGCGTTTCTATAAACAATTAAATAGGACAATAATGTTAATTGACAGCTGCCCAAATTATTTCTGATAATTTTATATACGTATATCAGATTGTATATTCTTAAAATATAGATATAATTTAAAAAGTTTGTATAAAGTCAGCTTGAATGAGAATGAGATTTAGTTGCACGTTAATTTTTTCTTTTACTTCGTGGCTTCAAAGAAAATATTTATTTTTGGCCCAAATTAAAATAGAGGAGCGGAATCTAAAAATGTCTATGGTATATGTCTGTGATAATAAAATGTTGTTAATCTTGAGTAATCAATTGAAATAGTCGCAAATGCAAATCAAAAACTACTCTCGCTTTAATACAAATTCTGCTCTCGCTCTCAATAAAAGCATCAATTGCTCTCGGCTGAGCACAGCTGATTGAGCTCTCGATCGGCGCTCTGTGGGGGGTTATCAGCTAATTTTGAACCCGCCGCGATTAGAGCTAATCTCTTACACATTCGGTTTGTCTTCAAGTCTGCCCACAGCCGCTCTCCATGATGTCAAGAGGCTTATCAGCTGCCCGCATGGTTTGGTCCATATACTCGAATCTTTAGTCTTGCAAAGATGTTAAAGCTAAGCAGCCGACTGCAAGCGCGAAAGGTTCTGCCTTTGGGCTGGCAAAGATTACGCCACGCCTCCTCCAGCATAGGCGGAGATGGTGAGCGCACAGCACTTTATGATTTCCATGTGCGCAAAGGCGGCAAGATTGTGAACTTTGGGGGTTATGCACTGCCCGTGCAGTACTCCGACCAGAGCATCATCGCCTCCCACCTGTACACACGCCGCGTGGGCTCCATATTCGATGTGTCGCACATGCTGCAGACCTATGTGCGGGGCAAGGATGCGGCCGCTTGTCTGGAATCCATTTGCACAGCTGACATTCTGGACATGCCCGCGGGCAGCGGCAGCCTGACAGTCTTCACCAACGAGCAGGGCGGCATTTTGGACGATCTGATCGTGAACAAGGTCAGCGAGAAGGAGCTCTATGTGGTCTCTAATGCGGCAATGAAGCAACAGGATATGCAAATCATGACCGCCGCTGTGGTGAATAAATCCAGGGATGCCCACCTGGTAATGCAATACTGATAATTATCATCTACCTTGCAGTCCAACTTCATGTCCCAAAGCAAAGATGTTTCCATTGAGTTCTTGAGCCCGGCGCATCAATCCCTAATTGCAGTGCAGGGCCCGCAGGCAGCCCAGGAGCTGTCGAAGCTGCTGCCACAGCCAAAAGTTAGAGCCCTGGAACAGCTCTACTTCATGCGCTCGGGCATCTTTGAGCTGGCGGGGATTAGCAATGTGCGCATCACGCGCTGCGGCTACACAGGCGAGGATGGTGTCGAGATCTCAGTGCCCTCTGCTCAGGTGGAAACTCTTACCGAGGCTCTGCTCGCTGCTGGCCAACTGAAGCTGGCTGGCCTGGGCGCACGCGACTCACTGCGCCTGGAGGGCGGTTTGTGCCTCTATGGCAGCGACATTGATGCACAGACCACGCCCGTGGAGGCAGCACTCGCCTGGCTGGTGGCCAAACGGCGACGCAGCACATCCGACTTTCCTGGCGCTCAGACAATTCTTCAGCAGCTGAAGGAGGGTGTCAAGCGGCGTCGCGTTGGACTGCAAATGCTGGGCGCCAAGGCACCGCCCGCACGCGCAGGTGTTGCCGTCTACAGTGACGGCAAGCAGGTGGGCCAGTTGACCAGCGGTTGCCCCAGCCCCAGCACTGGCCGCAACATTGCCATGGGCTATGTGGCAGAGCAGCTTAAGAAGCCCGGCACCCAGGTGGAGCTAAAGGTGCGCGACAAATTCTACGAGGCGGAAATAACTCGAATGCCCTTTGTTAAGGCCAACTACTACAATAAACCCAAGCAATAAAATATGTTTCCAAAGTTAAATGCTCAAGTGTTACTTCTGTTTGCTACTGGCTATGCAATCGGTTCTGAATACTTTTGAGTACATCCTTAAAGACCAGTTGCCCTTGACTACTGACTGCCCTGATCTGCTATTTTGTATAAAATATTTTTAGATTAGTCCATAAGGCTTGCTACAATAGGTTTCTGCTATAAAACATAGTTGAGCAAGTCTTAAAACGTATTGATTGTTAGTAAGATTGGATTACTAAAATGTGTAACTGGCTTAGCATGAATTTTTCTTAATATTTTGAAGACACAGTTGTGCAATTGATAATTTGAAGCTACTTTTGGAATGGGTTATAAATAAGCTTGGTGAATGCATGTAACATATTCACTTGCAAGTGAAGAATCGTTGAAGCACTACTTGATCTGGGAAAGAATTCTACTTTGACTTAAGTTTAAAAAATTATCTACAAGGTGTCAAACCGGCTTTGACGAAACCGATTTAAGTACGTAACGAAGCCTATAACCGAATTGATTACAAAGGGATAGCCCAATCTAAAACAGAGCCAATCTACATTATGAACCATTTATTGGTCAAAAACATGGCACATATCGTGATTAAAGCTGTGAACCGAACTTTTTTTCGGTTTTTGCAGTCTTGATTATCTGAGGTAAATACATTCGTTTCAACTCAAATCGCACCCTAATATTGACTTCCCATACCAAGTAATATGTCAATTTTCTGATATGGTAATTACCTTGACAAACTTCATTATGACTCGCACCTGTGCGGAATCGAAGCGCACCTGGCGATGCAGTCGGGCCAGGGGCGCCATTGCCTGCATGAGCAGGATGTGTTGATTGAAACGCGGATGCAGCGAGCAGAGCACCAAAAATGCATTAAAAGCCTGAAGTAAACATGAATCAACAACGTTTTAGGCTGTCCGATGGCACACGCGGATATGCTCACCTGCGAGTGTCCAATTAGGAGTACTTGATGTACTTGCTGCGCCTGTGTCTCGCTCTGCTCCGCTTCCCGCTTTGTGTGCTCCACAATGTGGTCAATTATGGCAGGCAAATCGTAGGCGCCGTGCTCGTGAAAGCTATAGCGCCAAAACTCTGGCATGACATCGGTCAGCTCGAGGTGATGCCTGCCATAGGGCGAGGCGCCACGCAGATTCGCCAGCCACACATCGTAGTTGCGCTGATGCAGTTGAAAGGCTGCTCCAAACACACCCAATGCTATAAATGAGGCATACAATGAGCTCCGATACTTACCCAAACTCTTGCCGGGTCCCAGGCACAGCCAACCCAGGGAGGAGCCCAGCAGTCCATGTACCAGCAGCACGGGTCGTGCACCAACGCGCGGCATTCGCTGTAGCTGCAGCTGGTAGCCATCGGAGCTGGTCACATTGTGCAGCTCGTGGCTGTAGTTCAGCTGCTGCAGCCAATCCAGCTGCAAGCATTAGCGGACACGTCTTTTAGCCGAGTCTCAATTAATCTCCACACACACAAACGCGCCGCTTACCGTTGTCCATTTCTTACGCTCTCCCGACTGGGCCCAGGTTAGGCTAATGACAATGACCACGGACCCAACGATGCAGCGCGTCAACCTGCCAAATTCACACATTTTACTACCTCAACTGTTCTCTGTTTTTGCACTCGACCTTTGGCGTACGCGCTACCTAATTGCCCACCAGTTGATAATCTTTGCGCTTCACCAACCCGTGACACAGGCCAACAAAAACGACATAGTCTTTAGCACCTGTCACATTTAGGGAATTGATATTGAAGTGCAAGCAATATTCGTACTCATACTTTAAGCTTGTATCGGACATTCAATTATACTTTCCTGATGTATTATATTTCAGCCTTCATTTAAGAAAATATTTCTGTTTAAGAAACTTCACGTTTCTCGTTTTCCCTAATAAAGTGATCAAATGTTGAAAAAGTGTACAGAATCTTTAATTATTTTAAAGACGTTTATTGAAAATGTATGTTAACTAAAAATACATGAATTTTCCTTATACAAACTAGTAATTCAGATAAATATGCGTATTTTAAAAGATATTATGCTTAATATACGAATATATAGTACAGAATAGAATAGAATAATATAAATATCGAAAAACAAATAACATGCCACAAATTTAATGCAAGCTTAATATTATATAAATTTATATATAGTCCTTTGTTGTTTGTTTTTCAAAAGTTGTCTGAGCTTCGATTCAAGTGTTTAGTCGTACGCTTTAGTTCCTTACACTATATTAAATTCCCAATTCTAAATACCGACTCTACAGTGTAATTGTTTCATTTGCTATTCTGATTTTGTCTTACAAAACGGCAGCTTTTAAACTGCTGACAACTCATTTTAATTCCCTCCAATGATCACTTTGCTACTCTGACCAGCACTTCATAAATTCTCGCATTTTTATAAATTTTTCCCATTGATGAAAAAAGAGTATATCAAGTAGCCGCCTCATAAAAGGTATTTCCGTTTTTAGCCATGATAACTGCAGCCTCTGCATATAAAAATAAATCTTGACAGATGAAAATTATAACGAATAACCTTTTGCTTACCGCTGTCACTCTAAAAACAGAGCATTGGTCAGTCGAGACATTTGTTTCCAGAAAATATTTAATTGTTTTTGTATACTAAACTCTCTAAAAACGGCTAAATACGGTATTATGGTTTTGTGCAAATGTATGGAACAGGCAGAAAGTAGAATCTCCAACCAAAGCCAAGTTCGTTTGTGTGAACGCATCGATTCACATTACAAAAGCTATACATATATGATATGTATTCCATAAATACTACGTTCAAGGTTTGACTTTGGTTATTATACAGATTAGGATGGAACATCCATGCCCCAAAAAATTTCATTAAGATCGGACAATAAACACCGAAGTTATTCGAAAACAAATTTCCAAGGGTGTTTGACTAGGGTAAGAAAGAGCACAGCTGCAAGCAACATATGTGCTAAAGTATAAATATAAGCAAGACTATTTAATTGTAAGGATAACCAGGGCTCAGGGTATCTCCAAGTCGGGCAAGAGCATGCTCACTTATTTATTTTACATCTCGTGTGGCTGTAACCACAACGAAATTAATTTCAGATTTCGTTTGGCGCGACAAATGCAACAAGAGTAAATTGTTTAATTGCAGCTTTATTAAATTTGATAAAAATGCATATGCCAGCAGACAGGACACGCCCACCCGCATGCCCAACTACAAACCGTAGTCAGTCACAGATGCAGAGAAAGGACTCGCACTCGGGGCTTCCGTTAATCGACTGCACTTTTGCATCCTGTTGCCTGCACAGGAGGCAGCTGCTCCTGCTCCGGCTTCGGCTCCGGCTGCATCTCCTGCTACCGCTCCTGCTCCTGCTCATACTTTTGTCCAGCATATGCCGCCACAAGGACCCTTTTGTGTGGCGGCCAGTGCGACGGCGGGCATTGCGTGTCCTTTGTTGCCACAGCCAGGTCTGTTGCCCTTCCAACATATTTGCTCCCCCGCTTTCATCATATTTTTATATCCCATTTAATTTGGCGTTTGCTTTTGGCCCTTCAGCAGTTTCTTTACATTTACTTTTTATACCCTTTAAATATATTGAAAAATAAATCAATTCTGATGTTTTTTTTGTGAGCAATTTTTTGGGCAGTTAAGGTGAGTAATTCGAAAGAGTCGACAAAGCTTTGCAGTTGATCTGCGCGAGATTATATCGTTAGAAAACAACTCTTGGCTAAAAAAGTCTGATTTTCGTTTTTAGAGCGGAGGAGATATGTCGTTTGAAAACGACATAGCTCCGCGCGGAGATATGACGTTCCAAAACGACATACCTCCGCGCGGAGATATGATGTTCCAAAACGACATAGCTCCGCGCGGAGATATGAGGTTCCAAAACGACATTACTCCGCGCGGAGATATGACGTTCCAAAACGACATAACTCCGCGCGGAGATATGACGTTCCAAAAAGACATAACTCCGCCGCTGATCATAACGAGATTATGTCGTTTTGACGGTTTTTACCCGAGAGTTGTTTTCTAACGATATAATACGCGCATATCAACGGCGAATCACGGCATTTAAAGATTTCACTATGCTCCCTTCGTTTTTGCAAAATCTTATTCACACCGGACCACTATAGCATATATCTGCCATATGAACGATCGGTCGAAAACTAGATTTTTGATTAAATAACCTTTTTGTTTATCAAGATATCTTGCTCAAGCTCGGCGCTTACTATTTTCCCTGTGCTTCTTAGATACGGGCCAAGCACTATAAGCATTATGCAAAAGGTTGGGTCTGCAAGGGTATTTGATCTTCGGCGTGCCGAAGATAGCCTTTCTTTCTCGTTATCTTTCATTTTTTGGTTTTTCATAATTTTAATAAAGTTCACTGCGATTTTTTTTTCTGTGCAGTCAATTGTTATCTCCCTGGCGATAAGCAAATATGCATTTGCAATTGGCGACTGCCTCTGAGTGCTTCGTGTTTGTGTTGATTTTCATATTTTCCCCCCGTTGCAGCAGACGCCATTTTCCCACCCTTTTTTCATAAATGAATGTACTCGTATAACTCTGTGTACGATAGTCTCAACGACCAGGGCTTTATTGTAAAACGTTTCCGTATACATAATATGGGCTGCAGTATAATTTAATCTATTTTATTTAAGCTTCATATTAAGTTTTATTTAATTCCGAGTACTTCCATCATGTCGATTGAAGACTGAGCGGAAAAGAATTTTTATATGCAAGCTCTTTAATCAATTAATTGAAACATTTTTAAAATCTATCGCCAAGCGTAATAAAACATAGGAATTTAAAAAACTAAAAATGGGTTTTTACAGTTTAAAGGTTGAATTGTATGAATCAGCAAAGAATAGGTAAACTTTTCTCGAAATGTTGTGTAGTTTAATAAAATATATGTAAAACAAAAACAAAAACTAAAATATCTTATTTATTGTATGTTAAGCTGGCTGTAAAGCTTCACCAAGCGCCCGTGTCATCCATTAACAGCTTTTGCTAACATCTCAAGTTTACCATACGTTCGAGGCTTAAGCTTATTGGAAATTGTAAAGCGAAATTGTTGTTTACTTAAAAAATAATATATGTATATATAATTTTGAAATGCAGACAAGAACTGTACTTCAAATATATCACAAAACAGGCAAATCAAATGTGTTAAAGCTGTTCGAAGTTTTTTTTTCTCTGATTGAATATATAGTCAAATAGACGGCATGTTAGATTATTATTAAATTTTTTTTTGCATTTTTTAGTTTCTTGAATTTTTTAATTTACAAAATTAACAAATATATAATTAGAAAGGCAGATGCTTTTTAAACTTAAACCAACTGATTGAAAATCTTTATAATCGCACTTCATGGACAAATAATGCATTAGACAATTATCATTGCATCATGCATGAATTTCTTTTATAAAAATTTAACATTATTTATCTATTTCTGATTACTGCACACGGTAATGACATTTTTATCGCCTCATAAAACATGAGCCAAATACAAATGGCAAAAATGTAACTTTTTTGTTTGGCATTTGATTGACGCCGAAAACGTAATGTCAATAGCTCTACAAAGGTGAAACGAGTGCCAGCAACAGCAAAACAACAATAATTTCGATGTAAAGCGCTTGATAGGAAAAACATTACGTCAAAGTAAATAAAATAGAAGTAAACAAGCTCAGCGAAAGAAGAAAATACACAAAACAGGAGCTTAGACCACATGAAATAAAAAATAATAATAACGAAAATGGTGCACAAGCAAAGTCAATCAGTGCCATTTGTTGTTGCTGTTGTTGCCATTGTTGTAAAAGCGCAGAAAACAGTCAAAAACAATAAAAGGTAGACGAATACCTTCACAAGTATCAAGTGAAAAGAAAAGAAATGAGAAACAGAGACACTTTGTGTTATTAAATAAGAGACAGTGCGACAGAGAGAAATCAAAATGTTCCAAGCTGCCGTCCGTCTCTCGGAGTTGTCACTGCTGACAATGGCGATGACGACGTTTCCGTTTCCGCAGCCGGGTGACAAAAATAACAAGTGTGATTACAATGGACGGCTGTACTTGTACGAAGAATACCCTGTTTAAATAAATATGTATGAAGGAAACACAATCAAAATCAACATTTCAAATAACCACATACTTGACATATTCTGACTTAATCAATGATAATCTCTGAGACGGAAAGTCTTTTCCAGAAATGTGCAAGAAATAAAATTAGCTATTGAACTTAATCGTTTAGATTGTTATCGACAGATCTTGCTAAATTCTAAATTATTTGGTAATTCTAATAAATAACCAAATTTATTTTATGCTGAATGATTTTAAGCAAAATTCAAAGTTTTAATTTATTTAAAATTTTTTCAATTTCCAAAACGACATTTTATTCCAATAAGACATATTTTAATTATTAGGAAAATATAGCCCTTTTGTATTTCAGGAATTCTGAACATTCCCAACACCCACAATCAGACCAATACACGGATAAAGTCAAGGGAATTCGCTTGATCAAGAATATAATCGTATAAGGTCACAGCTCCCACAATCCAGCTACAGGGTGTACAAAGGAAAACTTGACTGACAAAAATGCAAACAAACCGTGCGCCAAATGCACGGAATCAATGTAATTGACGAACTGACTGAGTGAATGAATGAATCGCAGCGTTTATTGTGGCCACACAGCAACCCCACAGCAAAACACAGACAAAGACAACAATCCCCCTTTAGCCCCCACTTACGCTCGATAGGTAGGCATGCAAAGCTCACGCTTTGTTTGTCTTTCAACTCAATTGCACGGCAAGTCGACAACTTGTTGGGGTGCTTGCTTTTTTACGGCATTGGAGATGGTTGCGATGGGATGGAATGGGTGGCAGTTGGTTTTCCGCCTATATGATTTTTTAT